AGGAAGAAAAAGGGAAAAGGAGTCGAGAACGGTTCAACGAATCGTCTTCGTTCTCTAATAATTTAATGAAACGTCAAAGCTTCCGCGCTTTGCGCGGGAAGACGGAAACTGAGTTCAAATTAAGGATTAAGAGTCGAGAACGGTACAACGAATCGTCTTCTTTCTCTAATAATTTAATGAAACGTTAAAGCTTCGCGCAAGAGGGGGGAAACTCCCCCTTCCCTGCCTCCAACCTGCACCCACCCTGCACCCACCTCTTGCGGAATATTCAGGGCGCCTCTGAGTGTCCCAATGCTTCCGCATTTTTAGATGAGGCACCAAACCTTTGAGAATGATCACGTGACTAGGAACCCCGTGGTGCCGTAAGGACCCAAATGACCTTCTTTTTATCCCATGGAGACTGATTTATAGTGACACTGTCATGTGAGACTATAATGTGGAGATAGTCCACGGAATCACTTAATTAAGAAACACTAGTAATACCATAATTCCAAACCTTTGTTTTTGATTAAATAAGGTTAGCAAGGGTCGGTTTATTTCATTAATTTCATTTAATTTACATTTGTAATTCTATAGATTAACCCAAACTCCTGCAGCAACCGAAAACTGGTTTTGAGACAGACTCTATAATTTTAAGAGCCTAAATCAAAGCCTCGATACAAATTTACACAACAATACTGAGCTAGACAATTCAGACCTAAACAAACTACCCCGAAATGTGTAGGAAACTTTATGGAGGTTTTCAATCATAAATTTAATGGTGTCATTTCACTTTTTTTTCCTTTTCTATCCTGTGAATATCTATTTAATAACGAAAACAAACAAATAACGTATGCTATGTCACATTAAAATGAGTAAACTAGATACATTTATTCGATTTATAGACGACTACCCCCCCCCCCCCCCCCTTCTTGGACGATCAACATAGTTTTTGAACAAATACCCTCCAAAAGATAGCTTCGCGAGGAAAATTAATCTTGGAAAAAAACACAATACGTATCAAAACTTTGAAGGGCAAATAACCATCAAATTACTATTTTAATTCCATTAAAGATCGTAAGTGCCCTGGCTAATTTATCCTGGTAAAGGTTGTCCTGAGGTAATTATCAGGGATTAGAGTCCTGAGTTCGACTTTTATTTCCATTTTTACACCAGTATTTCCTAATAATACTCATTCATTATAAATATAAGGGGGAGGGCAGGGATGTGCACGTAGCAACATTGAAAACCACTCGATGAATTATTATTTTTGTTTAGAGCGTAGCGAGAAGTAGACTTACGAGTAATGAAAAATTTACAGCAGAAGTTCACTTCACAGAACAACATAGAGCTACTTCAAAAGTCATGACAGGATCAAGAAAACACGATCATAGAAGGAAGGTGTATCCCAAAGATACTAGGAGATATCATCCCTCCAAATTCAGCCCCTATTCATAGAATCCTCAAAATCTCTCTCTATTACCCATGGACCTACTTACATCGTCTCTAAACTCGCTCCCAATCACGTCTTACATTTACCCGCTGTTTTCCGTCTGCAGTAAGCCTTGTGCCTTTACGCCGTTCCCCGAACCCCCCACCTGTTCAGTATTAACAGCTACCTGTTATTTTGCCCTCGTCATGCTTCGAAAAAATCGAAGAGTCATCGAGTCGGTAAAATAAGTAACACGAATTGGAAAGGAAGCTTGGAATAGGTTCTTTCACCTTCCCACATATGAGTTTTCTCTGAACCTACTGTCGTAATACTTGGAATTAATGATTACGATTTCCGAGTGTTTACGAGCTAAAGTTTGTATGAAACTCGTTAACAATCTTATTTCGACTTTAAGTCGTAAACCTGGCAAAGTTTGTAATTCTTTCCAACTGTCTCATAATGAAGAATAATGAGCAATTCACATGTCAAATAATTTTTTTTTGGAGTGTTTCTAGTTTTTCTGATAATCTCTGGAAGAAATATTATATTAGACTTTCAATTTCAAGAAGCATCCGAGAAATTATATCATCTAAACTTTTTTCTTCTTTCTATCAAAAATCTTACTTGTTTAATTTAAAGATGCGTGCTTAATCTCTTTGTTTATATCCTTTAGTATAATTTAGTTTAGAGAGAGAGAACGAGAGAAAGAACAAGAGAAAGAAAGAGAGAAAGAGAGAGAGGGAAAAGAGGAAGGGGAAGAGAGAGAGAGAGAGAGAGAGAGCGAGAGAGAGAGAGAGAGAGAGTGTGGAAGGGGGGGGGGTGGTGAATGTGTATGTGCGTGTGTGTATAGGATTCTTTTTAATTCATAACATTTGTCACGAGGGCTTTTTGAATCATATAAAAATCATTATAAAATAGCAGTTACAGTGTCTTCTAAATGCATCTGCAGTGACATGAAACATGATGTCACGTTCTGTAATAATGTTTATAAAACAATGAGACAAAAGACAAAGTGAATTTCCTTATTCATTGCTCTGTCCTGAAATCATATCAGCTCAGAAATGAACCTTGCACGCAATAGTCATGGTACATTGAATAACAGATATTCACATCAAGTTCAGGTATCTTGTTCTTTGTTAAAGTTTTATATTAAAGCTATAGTTGAGTTCTGGTCACGCAATTCTATTGTGAAAGAAACGGTATGGAATCGATCATAACGAAGTTGATCATGTAGCATATAAGTGTTGGTGTGTAATGCAAGGTTCTGGAATCATCAAAATGATAAGAAATTTGGCACAGTCTTGCCAAGAAACACGCACTGTACACAGAAAGATGTGTATGGGACTATACAAACATGTAGCATAAAAATGATTTTTAAGCTGTAGCATGTCATATTTAGAATGAGAAGGCATTTGAAGGCTCATGCTTTCCAGGGAACATTTTTCTCTGATTTTCTCCCACACTCGCATAATAACAATGAAAACGCTCACAAAATAATTTTCACCACTCCTCAGAACTCAACCTTCACTTTAAGCAGTGCTGTATCCAAAAGAAAAATCTTTGTGCAGGTGAACCGCCTTCCGTGGAGATTAATTACCTATTGTTATAACGAAATCATATATCAAGTAAAACTCATATCATCGACACATTCTTAAATCCACTTTCGAAAATTTAATGGAAATCAAACCGGTCTGAAAGGCGTCCTCATGAAGTTTTCTTTTCTCATTTTGATATACTCACTTGTTAGGATTAGAATAGATGTTATGAAACTTTCGTTTACAGAAGAACAAATATATGGTCAATTCTATTGTCTGATCTTGATCGAGTAACAATGGGATGGTCATGAATCATGAACGAATGTTTTCATTGAGAGAGAGAGAGAGAGAGAGAGAGATTACATTAATGAATGGTCACAAGTCACGCGGTAAGTTGTTGCTGCCCATACGAGATTGTGTCGTATTAAAATGTTTACCAGGACAAACTCAAACGCAGTCTCAATAATTCGGAATAAAATGCAACCCTCGTCATACCTCGTGTTTATAGTGAATTAAATTATTATATATTGCATCCAGTTCTGATGATTGTTACTTCCCATACGGACTATCTTTTATAATTCTATCAGAAAGCAAAATATTTATCAATTGGATCAGGAAAATGAGTAATTGAACCCGAAAAATGTAACATGGTATGGACACATTCCGAGTGTATCATATCTCCAATTCCTTGCAGGGGCCTTTTTAGAAACAATTCAGGTCTCGACCTTTTAGGGAATGTTTTGGGTGAATGGTGACACAGAAAACCTGTGGAATGTAACCTTTTTGTCGGAGGTCTGTGATGTTTAGTAAATGTTCTTTTTTCGGATGTGTGGTCTTTTTTTCCTCATCATGCAATCTGAAACAAATTGGAATTGGCAGGTATCCCTACTGTACATTTGATCTTCGTGATTGTCCAATAAAAAGAAAATAGCATAGTTTCAATTACGATAAAAATAGAATCTCGGGATAGGATATATATATATAGTTTCAATTCATTCTTCTAAAGACCGGCTTTACATTCTAAATGTCCTCGATTAACATTTGGAATAAACCATCAAAATTATTATTCGTTTTCGGATTAATGCAATGATTTTAAATTGAAGGTTTTCAAGTACAGTTAGAGTTTAATTAAAAAAATGTAATTTTTGGTTTGGAAGACAAAAGAAATGATACTTTAAATTGCATTATGACTTTGATTAAGCACCAACTTTTTGTAAAAAAAAGCTTAACAACCAAATTCCAAATTTTAGTTCTTTCAAGAAGAAAATTATTCAATATTATGAAGACGAGAGATATATTCATTCTATATCTGGTTTATTTGGCAGGCACTTCATCATTTGTTTATATAAAAAAGGAGAGAAATGCGAAAGTATTTTGTTTTATTTGAGTTAAAGTAAGACTTGATTTCATTGAATTGTAACATGTTTTGTTTGATTTTGATTTAATGAAATAGCCTTTGAAGGGCTAAATCGTTTTTAAAAAAGTCAAATCAGACTATGATACAATGATATTATCTAGCTCTTTAAAATTCCTTGGATAAACACATAGTTAACGTTTAAAGATCATCCAAACGTCTTTGGTTAGCTGTTCTTTTCGTTTCTTACCAATTTTTAATGTAAAAGACCGTCAGGAGCTGCATTAAAAAGAGATAAAAAGGATAAAAAGCTAGTTAAATACATCATTACATGGGTTGTTTACAACTGTTCCAGACAGATTTGAACGATACTTGAAGCTACACATAAAGACTCCCATCGGGCTAATAACTTTGGGATATTAACCTTGAACGAAATGAGCACTCGAGGGAAATATTCTTTAACAGACTACCCAATAGAAGAGTTCTAGCCAAGCCGAGAGACCTTAAATGGCGGTAATATTCCCGGTAACGACTACTAATTGGTCTCGAAAATAATATGCCCTCCGCGATAGGGGGGTCAGGTTCACACCGGGCCGTGTAGGATTACCCCTATTGAAAGAGAGGTGCAATTTACACCCCTCCCCTACTGCGATGGCTCTCTAACGAGGTTAGGTTAACATTCATCCATGAGTGCTTAGTGAGTTATGAATGTTAATGTAATTTATCGTCGAGGGAGAATAGCACCAACTAAAAACCGGAGGAAGTTGGTAATTTTATTTGGTGGATACTGGAGAAGATTTTGGAACCTGTCTTTCATCTCCTCCAATCGAGTGCCAGAATTATTGTGTGAAGCTTTTCAAACTCGGAATTGAACCTGGAAGAAGCTAGGTGCCGTCATTTGACAGGTTCGTTGTTTGCCATTCCTCTACCACCAACTCACAAAGCGAACATTTCGAGTCACGTCGATCCTCCGACATCGCATGATACTGATGCACTGTAAGTGGATGGTCATCATCCGCTTTTGCTATTTATAAATGCTGTGTTATTAAAACCATACCCCGCATGCTTCCTCGAGGAAGATAAAAAAGAACCTACTGCCGTGCCAAGAAGGAGCTGCAATCGACCTCTCGTCTTTATCATATCACATCTTTTCCTCAAACTCATCGGGGACAGTCATACGCCTCCCGTCATTAACTATTTCTCTCCGGGATACACCGCCTTTGACATTTTCCTGAGGATCATTTCTCTTATGTATCTTCTGTAAACATTAATGGCTTGCCTACACGACTAAGCCCAGCGTGCCTCTTGTCTGACACCATTGAACATTTACGATAATATATTCCGTGTTTGTTTCTTTACGGCAACCTGTTAGTGTTACCTCTCGTGATTTGTACCAGGGGAACTTCCCCACCCAAACTAAACCTCACATGATTATATCCCTTCTCGGTTGGAGACATATTGACCATACATACATACGAGGTGTTTGAAGGGAACGTCTGACTGGCTAATTACAGGCAGTTAAACTCTTTATCGGACTACCGCGAAGTAATAGGAAGAGACCAATTGCACCAATAAGTGACCTATCGTGTCATCTCGATTCTTCACTCCGCCTCACACATCAAATCAACAGTATACATTCTGACAAGCCGACTGCGCTATCACAGATCACAAAATGTCTTCTCTTGTATCAACCCTCGCTATTCTACTCGTAACAGGTAAGTAAATACATTTTCTCTACTCTCAGACAATATTTTGCCTTTTATATCATAAAGAGCGTTTGTTATTGCTTCGTTAATATGTTCATGTGCACAGGTGAATGTGAATTGACTTTCACTAGATTTGCTGTATGACGAACCCACGTGGTTATACATGTAATAGAAAACAATCTTTAGATATACGTATACACGGCACAGAAATATTAGGTTATCTCTATTACTGTAGAGCAGATGATTTCTATCTCCATGCTCTTGTCTCTACATCTTCTATTGATCAATCCATTCAAAAGCAGGACATCTAAGATATTTAGAAAGCATTTAAGTACAGTTTTCAACACACAGTGATCGAGGAGGAGGTTAAGTCTGTGTTTGACGTCAATAAAGGTCGGTAGGTTGTAGAATCGTCTTTCAGATTTAACAATGCAATAATAAATGGGCGGTGCTCTTCTTGTTTTATATCCACAATACAATCATTCGATTACCAAGGATGCAAGATAATATCTTACAAGTTATATTGTCTGCAAAACCCGATCCTCCCGCCATTCGGCTTCACTCTAACCGTATCTGTTTCCACTTTCGAAAGCGTGATATATTTCAGCGGTCTGCACGCAATGGCCATTACTCGGAGCCCCTTTCCAACAATAACCCGGTTAATGTCTCGGGGGTCGATGAACTTGCCTTTGTGATTGTCTACGAATTAAAATCTCAGCGGGATCGCTATTTTGGGGTGCTCCTTGCTTGCCCTATTTGACCTCTCCGTGTCACATTTTGCTATTAGTACCTCGTTTGATAGTCGTTTTATATGTGCCGCCGGTCCTTGTTCCTCACCGCCTCCGTATTTGCAAGTGAATGAATCGTACAGGTACTTCCAGATTATATATTAAAATTAACTTTCTAAAACATAATGATTACCAATTATGAAGAAGGTACCTACAATAATACTCGAAAAAAGAAAGAATATTGTAATGGTCATGAATGTACACGAAAAAGAGGAGGGGTCTCCAGAGAGCCGTTCGGTTGTGACAGCCCATTCAAGTTTTCCTACCAAAAAGGGCGAGAACCTAACCTGTTGAATAATATGGCAAAGTTGTTGGCAAACGACATTAAAGACAGAGTGGAATATAGTTTTACAAATGAAAATTGTACCCCCCGGGAAGGGAGTGGGAATGGGGGAGGAGGCAGTCAAATGTCACTGATAATTAAAATGAGGTCAACAATTATGTAACGCCAAATGGTGAAAGAATGAAAAAGTTTGTTGCTACTATCGGGAGCGAAATCTCAAAATGTCCAAAATATATTATTAAAACACATCTAGCAAAGCACAGTAAATCTTTTTTAGAAAATGTGTTTTTGTCGGTCTCTGGTTTTTTCACTTTTAATAGAAGGGTGGAATTCAAAATTTTCGAGAAAAAAGCAGGGTATCATTAGAGTCACTGACTTTACAAACTACCTGAGACAGACATTTGGTCTTTAGGGAAAGTGCTTGTCTGCAAATATCGCAATATCATCTCCAACCGAAGCCTTAATGTTCCGATTCGGAAATCAAAACGTGAAGTTTCTCCCTTTCGCGATCTAGACTTATGTCTCATTCAATATAGAGGTATTCTGTAGATGTATGTAAATGTAATGACCAGCAAATACAACGTGTGTTATTGAAAACATAAAAGTAGATATCATTAATTTGAGAGGTTAATTCTGACAATCAGAGCTTACATATTACAGGACAGTGCGATGTAGTAAGCCTTTAAAAAAAAAGCACACGTAAATCATGGGCGTAAATTTACTTCAAGAAAGTACCGTCTTGCTGTAAAGACAAGTAAATCGTTAATCTCATGCAATAAGTGTTTGAATCGTTCCGTATAGATGTTAGAGCGATCACAATTTCGGCCGGCAAAAGTCACACTTAAATATTGTGATTAAAATGTTTTAATTAAAATGTTTTATGAGTTTAAGCAAACAACTATCGTAAACCTCTTGCAATCGTGCACTGAATATTGTTTGGAATCATTACTTAAATCTGTTATTGCGACCACAATCTCGGCCGCCAAAATTAAATATTTTGAATGATTTACTTTATTTTAATTACGTCATTGGCTGTTTTCAGAGTTATTTCTAATTTTGTAGGGCATTGACTGAGGTTCAGGGTGATGTCATGAATAATATCAATACCCTGCCAAATTATAGCATCTGTGCCGTGGGTTGATAACTACACACTTGTATAGGAAATCATTCAGAGAAAAAATAAAGATGTATGTCGGCAGAGGCTTGGCTAAAGTTTGCAAAAATTGTGATTAACTTTCACCTATCATTTCCCTTTACCTGCATCCAAAAGCTCGTTTGGCAAAGAGAGTTTATCCTACTTCCATGGCCATGAGTACATGGCCAATATTTATACAGAGAATATGGACCGAACGTCGCTCTGTGGCGTTTCGAGGCTTTATTTTATTAAAAATAATTACACACCTTGTTCGGCTAATCGTTTAACCTCGATACTAAGATTATCTCTTCAACTTTTAAATTAACAAGGGCATCAAATTCTACCCGGATAAGCTTAATATTATCAGGGTCTCCCTGATAGTACACTACAACAAAGTGCATTAACACGAACGTGCGCGGATTATAATCGTCGTCAAATCGGGATTGATTATTTTGACCTATTTCCATAATACTGTATTGATAATTAACAAATTCGATTTGTTGCTTTGGGATTAACGTCATTAACTGATAAGCTCTTGCTTATTAATTTATGTGTTTCTTGAAATACTTCCAAAACAGGAGCTGCGTGTAGAAAACTATTTTTACCGTCAGTAAAATGTAAACAAACACATGCTGTACGATGCCGAGTGAAACGACTTTGCAATGAAGCGTCTGTTAGATCGTTAGGTGACATTTGTTATACATAATGGAGTATTTGTTTCAAAAACTACCTGTAAATTCGGCGTTTGGTAATTATTTGGTGAAAATTATGGCATTGATTAAATACCATTAGGTATTACCTAAAACTCCGAGATTGTCATAAGGCATGCAGAGTGCATTTTGATTCGAAGAGGCTACTGCTGCTGCTAATGACTATCCAAAGTGCTGAATAACTTTACAGCAAGTCTATAAATTATACAAAGATGTTCTCCTAGCTGGTATCCATTAACAACACCTGGGTTGAGACTGGCAAGTTTACTTTACATTGAGGGTAGTCATGCTATCAAGCTTTGCTTACTTTGTCAACCCTCCTGTTTGATATTTTCCTTACTTTATTCTACATATACTCTTTTGTCATGTGTACAATTTGCAATGATTTGTTTGTTATTTATTTGTAAAACTGCAAAAGGAAAAGAAAATCAAACAGACTTCCATCAATCAAATCAAATCAAATCAAACTTGACCATGGATGTTAGTGCAGTAGCAGGGATTCGAAACATGTACCTTGTAATGCAAGGTCCTGCGATTTTACTAAATGGACCACGATATCTCTACTACATGATACGGCTTTTTTCTGAATTATTCCCTGTGATGGCAAAGCTAAGTCAAGAAGAATTTGTTTTAAATCCAAATGATGACTCTTCAAAACGTCGAGTCGCTGACATCTGCGAAAGGCAAAATAGGACCGGCTTTGAGGTTCGGTAGCGTATTGGTCAAGCGGGTTCATTTCATTCCAAAAATAAACGCGATTTTATCAAAGGGTAATTGGGATATCCGACATTTTGCCAAACATTTTCCTTTAGGTTATAACCACAAACCTTCCACAAGATCTCAAATGGCATTATCACTCCTGTATTCTTTCTTTTTTCTTAGTATTCCTTTGTATCCCCTTAATATAAACTGTAGTCTGAATGGGTCCAGCTGAACAGCATTTTTCTAGTATTTGAAAGAGAGTGGAAAATTTCATTATGCAATGAGCTACTGGTAGAAATTAAGTAATAAGAAATGACAGCAAGGTTACTCAGATTACTGTACAAGCAGTGCATACAAGTTCTGACATCATTCATAATTGAATTATATGACCCCCATGATGAGTGACGTGCCTGAACATAAGTGTAATGTTTCAGACTTTAGGAGGCTTAACGCAAATGATGCAAGAGACAGGATATAAGGTGATTCGGGAGAGATGTACCTTCTCTCTTCAGATTATGTACAAAGCAGAGAAAAGAAACGAAGAAAAAAAAAGGGGGAAAGAGAAAAGAAAAAAATACTGAAAAGGAAAGGAGAGAAAAGAAAATAAAAGAAAGAAAAGAAAAGGAAATAAATGAAAGAAGATAAAATAGAATGAAGGGAAAATAAAAGAGAATGTAAAGAAATACCCACCACCAAACGAACGGAGAGAGAGAGAGAGAGAGAGAGAGAGAGAGGGAGAGAGGGGGAGGGGGAGGGGAGACCAGTAACAACACAACAATAGCATACAGACGATAATTATCGTGATTACATAGTGTGGCAAGCAGTTACAACGCTTTACAGTAAGACCAATCGGAATGTGCTAATTCAACAGTAATCGCAAATTGTAAGGCTGTATCATAACCTAAATACGTTATTGTTGATACACTCTTTCCTAATTCAAATTAAAAATGCATTTTCCATGATCAAAGAGCCAACGTGAAACATGAATAATTACTTAAAGTGTTGCAAAAATCAGAAATACCCTCAACTAACTACTTTTGAAGTGCCTGCGACTTTGTTTTCATTTACAGCTCCAAATATCTCAGATTGCGCATTTTCTTCGAATGATAGTTTCACAAATCAACATCAGCGCCCTCTATCTCCATGTTTTTGGGGATAAAATCTCCACTCACTTTATATCCTGTATTTGTCACTCATGTTTACAACATAGAAAAATCAATTACATTTTTTTAATTGACAGCACCATTCATATAAATATTTGTTAACTTATTGTACCTCATTATGTTTAACAGGGCCCCATGGAAGACCACCAATATCGGTGATAATGATTCACCCTGTCTAAATATCAGAAATAAATAAATACTTCTTGTTCATGATCGTATCTTTACGTCTGGAAAATTGTCCGGGAGTATTTTAGCCTAAATTTCGATTGAGTTATATGAATTGGAAGTATGCACAGAATTGTTTTAGGCCATCCACCATTTTAGGTTCCTGATCTAGATAATACAATTTAGTAATTTTTCACTTACAGATACGAGAGAAAAAGAATCTCATAAGTTTCCCTGATTTGTATTAACTCTGGGAAATAACTCGAGGAAATAACTACAGCACATCTGGAGCATACAATATGAAAGCTTTGACTGAGTTGTTAGTAATTCAAGAGACAGAAATTATGTACTTTTGAATATTTACGCAATGGAATCATGTAATTCAACTTATTGGCACAAATTATTGCCAAATACTCAGGATACAAATGCTCCAGTCCTGCCAGTCATAGGAAGTTACCCGTCACTGTTTAAAGTCGACTACCTGACGCACGAATTAAATACAGGAAATCATTAAAATATCAACGGGGAATTATTTTGACACCACACCAAGAATAATTTATTACTAAAAAATACTCCGTCATGTTTGATTATTTCAAATTATGAGTATTGTTTGTTTCATGCCCAGGTACTATGTCAGGATGATCGTTTAAATGTTCGGCTTAATTTTAGGAGTGCGGGCTTGTTTGTTATTCTATTTGAGATACATATATATTAATTGGAGACATCAAATGTTGGTCATGTTTATTGATCTATAACAAACAAATATACAATGCAAAGGTTCTAATATAATCATCAGTTTAAAGCTGCTAGTTGATTAAAACAATCTGAAAGTGAACATTTTGTTCTTCTTTAAAAAATAATAATCTGGATTCCACTTTGCGTATTGCTCATTAGAACCTGGCTTCGTGACAAAAGAAGATCATAGTACATGGTATTTGGGATTATTATGAATTGTTGACGAATTTAGCTGCATAATAATAATAATAATAATAACAATATTTATGAAGCGCAACATATCCATTTCTAGAGATGCTCAAGCGCATACAAATAATTTAAATTAACATTAAAGAAATATTAAATTTCATCTTACATTAGAACGCACAACTTTATGGTGCCATGGTACATGCAATGTGGCACAGTGTGATTATTTGTTTGGCATGCATTGTATACAAAACATTGACATTTAACAATATGCATTAAGCATAACATTGGCCGGTCACATATTAAGGTTTAGTTTTTATCAGAGTTTTATAAATTTTTGGAAAGTGAAATTTAGGTTACCTCCTGTATACGGGTGTATATATGATCGAAACGACTATCACAAACATATACTGAATTTTGTTAGAAGTATATGTAGCTTCAAAATATAGCTTTTAGCATTATAAATTACATTCTAATAGAGTCCCTAATTTTTAATTTTTTTTTTACAGGGGCCCCTTTTACAAAAAAAAAGTGTTGCTTCTCTGCCATTCTTAGTAATGTGATAAAGTCATCTAAATTTTTTATCTGTTTTTAATTAAAACTTTATTATGAAATAAGTCAGCCCCCAATTTTTTTCCATTCTACTATTTATTCCTGTGTCGATCCCATTTAATATAAATATTATTTTTTGCGAAACGTGTCAATGCTTGGCATTACATTTTTCTCTTCCAACACATTAGTATTAATACCTTACTTGTAATCTTCAAAATATTTCCGTGGGAATTAGAATTCTGACAGAGAAAAAACAAAATGGTTGTGTCAAATTGGTTTAAATAAATGATGTTGAGGTATTTAAAATTTCTTAGATCTGTTTTCTTGATAGTCGTCTAAATTAATGGACAATTTTCGATTGAATCATCAACGCTATACAGAGTGCCAAATACCAGGTCCTTAATCATATACAATTTACCATCACTATAACTATAAGCAAATACAAAAAAATTGTAATTATGATAATAGTTTCTCACTTTTAATTCTTGCTTATATATTTGTGTGACGTAATGAGAGTGCAACAGTGGAACTTAGCGTTTGACCGCTGGCTCTTGATTGGACTGCGTTAAGTCAGGTTTAGCTTTAAAGACTATGGGCCAAGATCATAATTCGGAATCAGAATATGCAATCGATACAGAAAAATGTTTCATAAGACTAGACGAATTGGCCGATCTAGCACATTATTGGAATAAGTTGATCAAGGATAGATTTACAAACAAGCGATCAAATATCGTCGTGATATCAAAGGAAACCATGGGCTGTAGATCGCGCTAGACAGTAGCATAATCTCATAAGGCTCATGCAGATAATATTTGGCCCGTCATCTGAATGAAGACATTCTGAATTATCCATAATGTTAAAAGAGAAAATAAAGTAGACCTATAAACAATGTTCAGCGATTTACGACTGTAGACAAGCAAGCATTCGTGTCATAATCCCATTTTAAAAACAAAACTCTTGATTTGTTAAGTCATTTTTCGAAGAAAATAATAAATACGTCTCCCATAATTTATCTATTCCCTGTAGTTCTCCGACCTCGTTTCATGAAATCCGTCAATTTGTTGGTTATTTGCGGTTTAAAATGCAATATGGGATTTTCTTACGAGTTGAATCAACCTGAATATGATCCATTAGTGTGATTCTATATACCGCATGTTGTCAGTCACGCCTTTACATAACATAGTTTCAATACTACTGATGTTGTTTTTGTTTTTGTTGTTTGTTTTCATAGGTTACGATAGCGATAACTAAATATTGGTAGACAACATACTGGAAATGGATGTAGATAGCTTTATTCGTATGATGCATAACATTATTCCACCGGATTTAGAATATTTATATTTTATCACGTCAAATGATATACGCCTTTTGTTATATATTTTTTGTATTTCTTTAAAACGTTAGTGTATTATCAAAATCAAAATAGAAAGGTGTTTGAAAAACTTGATCTGAAAGTGTGGAAGTTATAGGTCCCAAAGAGAAACACTCTACATGGAGATTTTTTATTTATTTTGTTGCAGCCCCAAACAATTTCCATTATTTCATATAATTGATGAAAATATCTTTATACATGTTTTATTTTCATACAGTGATTACAAGTACTCTGAGTTCGCCTATCAAAAGTGAGAGAGACAAATGGCTGGAGACAGTGGGTTTAGCCGAAAGTCCTGGAATCTACGTTGGACCTGGTCCTGTTGACCAAGAGTCAAGTGGCGACTTCGCCAGCATACTGGGCGGATTGCAAGGGAGTGGTGACACACCCTCAGAACCCGCTGAGCAGGGTGGGTTTGATCTTACGGATATTCTGATCGCAGTGGACCATGAGACCGATCCAGTGTCCTTCATGCCATCGAGCAGTAGCAGCAGCAGTAGCATCATGAGCAGTAGCAGCATCATCGAGGCATCGTTGAGCGAATACGATGGTATTGATTCCGAGGAGGATGTCCGCATCGAGGAATCTACGAACGACAAGTACGAAGGCGACAACGAGCTCGGCACGGGCGCCATCGATGAGCACGACCCAAACACCTTTGACAACAACATGCCGCTCAATCCCAACGCCATTCCCGATGCCTTCCAGAACGGCGCCAATGCTGAGCTAGGACCAGACAAAGAGATCAACAAGATTTCCACACGGGCAAAGGCTAATCCTAACCCCAAGGGGGTGAAGCCACAACCCAACATGGCCGGAGAGAGTGAGAAGTCAGCGGCTGCAGGGAAGGGAAAGACACCCCCGAATGTACTGAAGTACACGGCTGTTATAGGTGTTGTAATGGTTGCAGTAGCTGTCGGCATGGGGGCTCTATTGAGTGCCATTGGACTCGGAGCCGTCAAACTTGTTAAAAAAGCTCGGAAACCCAAGGTCGAGGAGGCATGATAGTCTTCTTTATCACTCTTGAACAGTCTTGAATTTTGATTTAAATATAAGAATGAAGAAAAACTGTTTTTATCAAATGTATTCCACTGTGTCCTTAGGTATCTAACCTTCCAAAAAGTATTTTGAAGCCCTCTGCAACCGAGCATGCATGGAGCCGACGGAACTGTTCATTTGCCGGTTTGTTCATTCAGACACTTCATGCAGTTTAGGTAATATCGCTGCATTCGGAATCATAGATGATCTATTGTTCTTGCTGTTAGAAAACTGTATAAATATTCCTAATGTTCAGAATCAATTAACAAATTTCAAGTGTCCTGTAGTCATATATGTATATTATTAAATCTTTATTTCACTATATGTTCTCAACCTTTGGGGCAGCTCATTGGTGATTGAAAATTGTATGAATACCTCATGTTAAACTACTTTTGTACATAATTACTGCTCTGTTTTGATATTTTGTTACAGCTTTATTACCATTGTGTCATTCAGTTATCATGGTCATTATAAAGTAAGAGTTATTTGTTGTATTATGGGTTATCTTTATATAATAAGAAAGCCATTTATTCCAACAAATAAACTAAAATGTATATTAAATTGAGATTTAAATTGTATTAGTTCAATAAATAATTAACAATTTTTCTAATAACACAATGATCTATTTCTAGTAAAGAAAAGCCCCCACCGAAAAAACCCCTGATATCCTAAAATGGTCCGAGGTTTCTTGTAAACCCATATCTCTAATATTGTGTTGCAAACGTGTTCACTTCTTGTCTTCAAAAGTATAATTTTATGTCTTCCAATATATTGAAATGAAGATCTTTTACTTCCCGTTATTTATTACATTTTTTTCATATTAATTTGATCCTCCTTTCGAATGAAATGGATGATAATACAAAATGCAAAAACTGTTTCTCAAAATTTAGTCTCATTATTAAACAGAATTACTTTTAATCGATCCTTTTGAAACCATTTCATGAATAATGATTGATAACCCATGTAAATATTGTACATACACCATTTCTATGATAATTATAACATACATGTAAAACTATGTATTATTAACCATTTCATACTTTTAATAGCATGTTTTGGTTCGAAATCTTTCTTTTGGTGCATTTACATTGTGTTTGTGTGGATTTTGCTGTGTTCCGAAAAGATTTATTCATCGAAATGCTTCTCTTCTTTTGTAATAAAAGGAATAAGTATAAATCTGTATTTCGTTTGTATTGAATGTGTAGTTGAAATCATTACATATCAGACCATATAGTTCCATCCTTTGAACCAGCAAATAGCCCTACATTTAGAGATGCGACAATCACTATGACCACTCTTCTAGTGAATGTAAACTGTATCCCAAGTAAATCCTTGTAACGAACAATAACTAAAATGCAAACCAAATTTAAAAAGGAATAGACAAAGGCAAATCAAACATCGGGATTATTTCGTGTTAATAGAGTTCAGATTTATAGAGTTCAGATTCGTCTTGGATACTAACTTTTGATAAAAGATTCCTATTTAATAATATCAAAGCTACTGGCAAAGGCACAGGCGATTGGAGGAGTTTACACTCCTTTTAAAACAAAGTGACATACCAATAAATGCTGAAATGAAAATTTGCTCCCTCTCCACCAAAATATAAGCCCTCTGTTTTGCCTGTCAGATTTTTTCTTCTTCGGAATTACCCCCACCCCAGGAAAGCTTGATTAGTTCGGACCATCGTTAATCTTATCTTATGTATATTTGTTTCACCCACTTAATTTAACTAAAACATACATTACTATACAATTCCAGTTTTATTCCTTGCGCGTCTCTCCATTACGGCAAGGATTATGAGTGTGTTATTGCTATTATCTGCGATTTATAAAGTCAACGAATTGTGTTCACGAATCACTTCCGCATTAATTCTACTGGGATTACAACACTTTGTAAAATGTACGGACGATCATCTTATATTACTGGGTTGGGCTCCAAAAAAAAAATAACAACAACAAACAAACAACGAATTTTGTTCTGTGGGTATCGGTATCACAAAAACTTTCAGTTAAGATATTGCATTGTTTGTGAGTTTGATGAGAGCCTTTTTGATGTCATTTAAAAAAAAGTTTTTACTATAACAGATGATTTTTACAGGAAAGTCAATTTGACACATTAAATTTCACCGATATCTCGAAGTATAGCATCATTTGTATTAGAGAGGAACACAGTTTCAGTTTCGAAATATGCTGTTATATGGGTAATATTTGCATGAATTCAGAGAAGTTGTTCAAATTTATGATAGTCCTTGTTGATTTCGTGGTAAATTCTTTACGTTTGAATTCAATTTACGCGGAATTCCCAGATGTTGAAATGATTTGTTTTTCTTCTTTCGCATGAAAAGGGCGATGACGGTTGTAAACTTTTATATGTAGAATGTGATGGGAGACATAATATACTCTTGCCCCAGCTGCTCATCACCACCTTGTCATTCGATTTCCTTTCCAGATTCTACGCATGGTCAGCAGACCAGAACAGCAATCAACCCTCTTTTACAACTTGAGAACTCAGTCTGTCACAGTAAGGGATACAACTGCTAATTTAATTAGAAGAGAGTTTCCACTGCCGCAGTCCCGTACGTCCTTCGTAAATAATAAACTGCTTGAAAAGTCACACCGGAAATTTAAATGTCTAATTTGCCCTCGGAGCACAAATTTATCAGATTGGCTACACCCATATTAAAGATTTAATAATCAATTATTCCCATTAGTACCGAAGGCTATTATGACGAGGTGATTTGTAGAAGTTATAAACTGAAAAGTGTGTCTAATTTATACTAATATGGCTACACCCATGTTGCCGTTCAATCTTTCGGCAAATTTCAAAGGTATGTTTAGGTTTATGTGACTAGATAAGGGATGTTAATGTAAGTCTTTTGGAATAATGTCGATTATGTTTTAATTATTATTTCGATCTAAACATAAACAAGGAAGAGGAATTAGTGATCGTAGAGATAGGCGGGGAAAGGGAAAAAGACCTATAAATATAAATATAATAATTATGTATATTAATATAAACACAGACATATATATATATATATATATATATATATATATATAAATATGTATATATATATAGAGAGAGAGAGAGAGAGAGAGAGAGAGAGATAGAGAGGAGAGAGGGAGAGAGAGAGAAGGGGGAAGGTCGAAGCTGGGGAACAGGCCAGTATACTTTACTTATAATTGCCTATTAAATTGAGCTATAACGACTTTGATAAACAGATATACAGCCTTTTCACACACAGCTAAAATTCTATAAACATGACTAGTATAAACGTGTTTCGAACGTGTTTAAACTAATCACGAGCCTTTCACACACAGAAATTTCGGTGCGATCGTTAATTGTTTCGTGATTAACTACTGCTCGTAAAATGCGCAGTAGTGCCATTGCGCATTGAAGGTCATATCATGTCAATCAAAGCGCACGCTCCATCCAGTTTAAACACGTTTAAACAAGAATTTCCTTTCACACACAAAATGTCAAGCTCTCTAGATACGAACTTCGTATCTGCAGCCTGCTTTTAGGGGCGTATGGATCGCGACTTCGGATCTATCCCAACATCGTATAAACGATGTTCACACTGGGAAATTTTGTCTATAAACATGTTTAAAATTTTACGATGATTCTAATCATCACTAGATACGATGAATTTTAGCTGTGTGTGAAAAGGCTGCTATATAAACTGAGAGAGAAAGAGAGAGAGAGCGAGGAGAGAGGGAGAGAGAGAGAGAGAGAGAGAGAGGGAGGGGGAGAGGGGAGGGGAGGAGGGAAGATAAGGCAATGGAGATAGGTAGTGATAAAACATAGATGGCAATATCGCTTCTTGATTCGGTTGTAATTCCACCCACAGACTTAACACTCAATACACAGAAATCTGGGAACTATGAAATTTGTCAGATCAGTATTAAATCTAACTCCGGCATAAACATTTTAGAACATTGAGGGGGCACTCGGTCCCGACGCCTTTAGCTTGCAACAAACATCACACATGACATGAGTCATGGATGATAATTCCGTGGTCTGATAACATATTTCCTATTTCTATTTAAATAGTTCGGCTATCTTAAAGGGGGAAACACTGGCTAGGCCGTCCATCTCTCACACTTTGTACCCAAATCCCCAATTTTACCCACAATTCCACAATGATAATCACATCTTCCTGGTCATGTGATCTTCTTCAAATCCTAGATTTCGTTTTGCTTTTAGAGGTGTTGAAGTCGAGTAGTTTAATCACTTCTGTTTTACGCAAAGTTCGTGGGTTCGATTCCCGGCACGACACGTATACCCTGGGGATGAATTAAAACAAAAAATCCGAAGTTAGTGCTCCTCTCCACTCGGGTCTTAAAAAGCATTCAAACGTCAGTGTGATTGAATTTGGATGTGAAAAAAAAAAATCAACTTGCTGGTTTGCTCCCCAAGGTAGGAGAGAATGTGTACTGTAGAGTTCTGAATATCAATATAATCCAATGACTTGGGATAATACTACTGCAAACGCTTTTGTTTTAAAAACAAACGTTTATTATTATAATACCAAGATATTAAAGCCAAGAGCCTTGTCAAGAGACTAGTTCCTTTTTTAGTCCAGACAAGAGATTCCCTTAAAGTTAAAGAGAAGTTTGGACTTTTGTAAAAGTAAACTAATTTGTGAGCCTATATCATAGAGCGGATGTCCCCTAAACTGGTTGGTTATCAAAAGGTCCCCATATTCGGAATATGACAAGAAAAAGCTGAACAGGTCTTTAGCTAAACTGTCATGCCACATGTTTTTGTAGTCACATATAGTATATTTTTTTCAGAAAAGATTTATATAAAAAAAAGCTAGAAAGAAACAAACAATAACAAATAAATCACAATAAAACGCAAAAAGAAACATACAAACTAAAAAGTTCGATTCAGAGAAGTAATGACCAGCCGCACACTATTTATGGAAAGAAATAATTTCTGCTGCAATTTGTGTACCCTTCTTTTGAGTGTCATGTTGTTCCCTCTCCCCATTTTACTGAGTCTTTAAGCCTTCAGGTAATAAACTCCTTCCTCTCAGCTTGTGTTGCTATGGCAACGGCTTCCTCAGATGGCGGTCGTTGAAAGTGTTTTGACTTATGTCACGCTTCAAGCATGTACGGCGTACCCTCCCTCTTTGCCCCTGTGTGAAAAGTTGAAGGAAAAACAACTCATGCAAAAAGTGGCCCCGACAAGTTAGTTGAGAATTCACAACTATACATAAGAGGCAACTCTTTCCCTATTATGCTCATAGATACCCATAAGGTATAATCTGGCCAAATTGCCTTTCATTTTGTTTTATATCAATAACAAAATCAAATCATTAATGTTACAGCCTCGATGTAATAAAACATTACATGATAGAACTTGTAACACCCAATCAAAAAGTAATCCACAACACATCCACAACACAACACATTCTTCTTTTATAATATCCTTAGGACAATATTAGAACAAGGTGCCTGTACAAAAAAGAAGAAGAAGATTTATGTCATTTGGAACAATGATCCAAATTATTGGTAATTTGATATCTCAAGCTAAAATTTATTTTTCACGAAAAAATGATTAATAATGATGATAATAATAATAATAATAATAGTAATAACAATAATAAAAACGGTGCCTTTAAAGCACCTTCCACTGAAGTCTTTAAGCGCTATAACAAAAAAAAATACATTGACAAACAATTATGTATTAAACAAAAAATACAAATAACCTGGCAAATTACAATACATATGAAATATACATCAATGTGAACCAAGTAAGTTAATCATCAAAAGCAATTTTGAATAAATGTGTCTGAAGACAAGTTTTGGATTCGTTGACAGTCATATATAGTTTTGGCCTGTAACGGTAGTTAAATCATAAAGAATTTTCGTTACTGGTAATTAATAACTATCATCATTCAAATTATACCAGAAAACTATATGTTACAAAACATATACCATATGCTATCTACCTATCTACATGAATACAACGATTATATGTACTCTTTACAAAAAATGTCCAAATTGCTGTATAAATGGTTCCACAAGTATTTGAAAGATCGTTTCGCTACAGCAATAAAAGGGTAGCCATACACTGCGTAAGAAACAGATTTGATCACATCAATATAGAATGTAAATTTATCGAAGGAAACAATGGAAATGTGTTCAAGGACACCACTTTTGGCACGATCTACCAAAGGGGCAATTTCTGACCTCTATGCGTCACATCTAGACACACGTAAAGTCACGTGATCATTGAGGTCATCGGTATTGCAATTACATGCAGTTAATTGTGTCGGAATTTTGACCCTTTGGGGATGTATTAGTGTTAATAAACACATTCAACAGTTACCATGGATATTAAGGAATAACGTTGTGAATGAAAAATATCTTGGACACCATTATCACGCTACTTAAAACTTATTCTCAAATAATCCTTGGTCAGATAAAAGCTTGAAAAGAAATTATTCTGCATAGATTTGTACAATAGCCTGAATGTCTAAGAAATATCGAAATTAAGTGGAAAAAGATATTCCAAATAAATTTTTTAATCGTATTATGCTTATGTGAAATGAAAAAAAAAGTTGGTCACAGTTTATTTTTAATGTAACACTTTGCGCCTTGTTTCATAAATTTAGTCCGATTTGAGAAATAAAATATAAATTGTTACTGCTTTTATATCCACACAATGTTACTTCATTTACAGCTAAAAATATGCCACAAGAATAGTCATACAATAGTAATAGCCAGAGTAATGTATTCACTATATTGAGTTATTTTTAGATGGAAACAAAAACCTTGTGATAGAAATTGTCAAACATGTGCTATTTCTATAATATCAACATGTATATCTAGTGAATAATAATATTCAATAGTTGAAATAGTGACGGGTAAACTTGTTTACCACATGATTAACTCCATTTGTTTCCCACAGGAAAGGTTTGTGACGTTAGCAATGAGAGAAGTCCCTTGTTTAAACACAACATTCGAGTCTTTATCTGCAGCCAATCGACACTCCCTTCAGAAAACTTTCATGTGTATTGATTTCTTCGTCTCCGACAGAATATCCGTGTATTTTATTCTTAGAACGTTACCATCATCACCTTACCCATCTTAGAGGTTGGGTCATTTTACAAAATAACATATGAGACAAAATACATGAACATGAAACATTTTGCTCTTTAGTGAGGTCCAAAACGAGTTCAAAATAAGTTCAAGGCATAGTAGTCCTTAAAAGTAAGTCCTAACAGTTTTCTTTTTTAAAAAAAGATTCAGCCAGTGTCGTCATGGTGGAGTGGCTATCCACGTCATCAGGTGAGGCCAAGAGGAAAGCTAGAAGATAATCAATTAATTTGAGAAGACCAAGCATCTGTACCATTCCGTCAGTTCTTATGCACGTATATTGCGGCTGGATTGGGGAAGAGGGTCTGTTATTTTGTAGCATGGTGATTAATCTTGGTCTATAGGCGAGTGTAGCGCTTGTTTGAAATCCGCAAAAATCCTCAAAGGCTGTCTTGGCTTGCTTCACAACCGATGATGATACATTGTGGGCTTGTGGTCAAATGAAAAATAAGGAAAATCCCACTCGGGTAACATGGGTTGATACAGAAGCCAATGCAAGGCCTCAAACTTACTTTAGGTGTTCGATGCCACTGTTTAAAAAATGTTTTTTATGCATAACAAATTGGCCATACACTTGACCAGTCCGCTAACTTACAATTATTGTCCACCCAATCGGTCAGCAAAACAAATCAAACTTTTCAAGCATCACCACATTTTGTTTTTTCTTCATTCGTAAACATCAGTTAAGCAAACTAGATCAGGGGGTGTTTTACAAAGATCCTAAGTCGAACTTAACTCTAAGTTTATTGAGAGCCATTTGTAGCCTTAAGATAAATCTATTCACATCATTCATATGAATTCCACATCAAAAACGTTAAATCTCCTTGATAATGGTAAATGTGAATGATTTGAATCAACATTTTATGTCTTTTAAAATAGCTTTCACAAAATATTTTCAAAGATGCTAACGGCTTTCCATAATTGTTAAGTCCAACTTAAAGATAAGTTCAAATTAGGATCTTTGTGAAACATCCCCAGGTGACAAACTTAATGAATTCAACTTGACTGACAAGGACGCTGATAGCATTTATAAATTTTGTCTAATCTTTGCTTAATTATAAACAGTTAAACAGTCTATGTAATTTCTGATCACTGCGATCAGAACTTACATAGACTGTTTTTCATTAGGTTGAACTTGTATCTCGTGATTAAGTGTGTCGTGATTTCCAAAGCCTTTTGTCGCTTCATTTTCTAGCCTTTGGCCTGACAGGGGTGGGATGGGGGGGGGGGGGGGGGTGGGGGTGGGGGATAAGGGAGCAATGTAACGTCTATGCCTGTCATACTCTTGTGTTGTTTAGACTTTGGTGGACGGTCATAGACACTTTTGCGGAGGCGGGATGAGAGACCGTACATCCTGCCCCGTTTCCTGAAAACATGTAGCCAACTGCTTCTTGTGATGTGTAATAAAAATGACCTTCTCCCTTGCAATCTGTCGTTGGGGGCTTGGGGACCATCAATATCTTACCTCGACGTCATGTTCCATTAGAACTTGTTCGTCCCTCTTTCTATCCTTGACACACTTTCTGATGAATATGAGCAAATTACACTTTTCAGAACACAGGCCTGCCGCTCAAAGCATTTGTTTTCCGCACCCCAAGCCTTCCTTTCATATAATTTATAAAGCTACTGCTATTTAGTATTATTGAAATTAGTATTGAAATCTTATTTAAGTAATAAATGAAGTGTTACTCACTCGAATTAATCAAATATAATTGTAAGGGGGACCGACAGAAGACGTGATAGAAAGACTTTCCCCCAAAAAATCCGTCATTATAAAGTTGATTGTACTTTTAATTTCCTATCCATGTCGATTCGTTTAAAATAATCATTAATCACCGCATTATCTTAAGGTATCACGCGCAAGTAATAAACATAATCCAACACAGAAATAGCCCGATTCTAACTATAAATGGCAGGAATTACTTATCATTGCCATGAAAAGGTCAGTGGTTATTTGGCAGACGCAATAAATTACAAGGGGCATGTGGGACCGGTGCCATTTTCTTTAAATCCACTTCGCACCAACGTTGATCCGACGGGTTTTAACCATTGGCGTAGCCACACAATGGCCCCGGGTGTGCGTAGGGGGCCGTGGGGGGGGGGGGGCTGAGCATGACGGAGTCCCCTTCTTAAATGGCGAAAAGGGAAAATATGAAAGAAAAAGAATACAGAATGAGAGAAGGAGAAAGGGAGAGAGAAAGAGGTTTAAAGAGAAAGGGAACGGTGTTTGGGGGGGGGGGGGTGGGGAAGGAAAAAATAATGCAAAAGTCAATATTTATAACAAAACTACTATACAACTATTACTACTACTACTTCTACTGCTACTATTACTACTACTACAACTGCTACTACTACTATTACTGCTACTTCTACTTCTACTTTTACAACTACTACTGAAAATACTACTATTAATTCTTCTATTACTACTACTGCTAATACTACTACTTCTACAATAAAATTTGTATTTATTTTTTCAGTATAGCCACATTATAATAAAACTGACACACGATGATTAAAACAGTCGATTAAAACGCGTTTTATCTTCCAAACAGAGGGTAAAAAAAAAACACGTATCGCATTTCATGAATGACCACCTTAACATCATTCAAAACATATTTCATTCTCCAAAGAAAACGCGAAATCACAAATGGCATTCAAGCATTATTGCCTCAGCACAATTTTTTCTCCAAAATGAATTACTGAAATATTCAATGTTTCCAATTACAACACATTTTGCAACATTTCTCTTTTGAAATGGCCCCATATATTTAGGTGTACTGCATGTTTCATGGTTACGTAATCAATACAGATGCTGCGTCATCATAATGGGAAATAAGCAGGCTTTTCAATGATACCAGATACAAGTAAAGAATGGCCCTTGACATTATATCACATCACTTGTTTCTCCGAGTCATATAATTTCATGAGGATATGAAGTGGAGATCACGTTAAGGGGCTTAAGACAATATTCTTCTAAAGGACTTCATAATGTATTTTACAGTGGACATATTAAAGTAATTCTCTCACGGGAAAATATCTTATGCCCAAGACCTACAAAGTAAGGTCATTAGTTAATCTTTCTGAATATTGCAACGGGCAGATACTGAAATGAGTGCTCACATTATTACGTACGGAGTATTGTTAATGAAGTTTGCTTAATTACGATGTAGACGAACTTTTAACAAGTCATTGCATTTGTGATAAGGTTATGATATTCGTTCATCTGAGATACAGAACTATTTAAAGTATTCCAATTATTGGTATTCTGTTTCTTGTTTACTTACATTATCATATTTTGTAAAGAAAATGCTCTGTTATTTTCTTGGAAACTGTTCCTTTCAGTCTATGTTGCTAAATCAGTTTTTTCAATACAATAACAATAAATAAGTAAATATAATCAAGACAAAAATCATAAGGCATACAACTTTGTTTTCTAAGTATCAAAATGTAGGTTAAATTACCATGGTAACAAGATACACACGAGTAATTTCCTTGATTTGTGAGTAATAGTGACGGTGGGTTTCCGTCGTCTTTAAGGACGGAATTAATTCATCGGGATACCTTTACACGTGCTTATCTACGTCAATAGGATCAATTTTGGATCCGTTTCAAAATGATTAATCAAATCGTAAAAACAGGAGTCCAAAATAGCTCTATGACGTCATGGCTCTGAAGTACCCCCTCCCCCTCCCCTCCCTCCCGGGGGTTGTTCCCAATAGTTGCCGAACCGCTGTTGGGTTTATGTTCTTTGCTTGTTTAATAGTGCACTTCCTAGTCTTTCCGCAACGTCGTGATATAAAATGCCCCTCTAGTTCATAATTAATTCCACCCTTTCCTATATCGTCCCCCAACTGAGTTTGAGACATTCCTGATCCCGGCTTTGAACATCCCTTCATCTTGATATTCCGTGGCAAAGTTACCCCCTCCCCTCCCCATCCTGCGCACGAACCTTGACTGACTTCGGACTATATTATACGGTGACAGACTTGGAAAACGTGCCGTCCGCTTTTTACCAGACGCTTGCATGTGCGTGACGCAAGAGACTTTTCAAACTTCACCTCCCTTCCAGCTTCGCTTCTCTGCATCTTCATTAACATCTAAAAGCATCCACCAGTAAAGATTTTTAATTTGCAGCTCCTCCTGTTCTTCAAGTCGTACTACATCACACACATCACACATTCATCATGGCCCAGTTTAGATTACTCTGTCTTGTCTTCTTTGTCGGTAAGTTAATATTTATATTATTTTTTCTTGGGACCATGACCGTACTTTCAGCTTTAGATGCTGTTTAGCATTTTAATGTTTGTAGCTGGTCTGATTAAGCATGTTAAATCTGGGTACATTGACGCCCGATCGTAGCGACAATACAAGCAATTTTAATAGCATTAAGAAGTGCCTTTCCACAGAACCATAATAGTAATTTAGGATATCTCGAGCATCAGTATATTTTTAAGAAATCGTGAAATTTTCAAGTCAGCTAGGAGTAATACTAAAGACAAAGTATTATAATTTTGGATGCATGAGACACCAAACCATCACTTATCTATCCCTGGTATCAATACAATACTTAAATTTTCTCAAAAAGAAATCTCTCAACTTAGCGCTGAGCAATCGCTCAGCAAATCTTCGCCTGAAACATTATTTTTGGAGTATAAAGCAAATCACATTGGTAAATTAGGTCCTCTGTCACAACTGTTATCACTGTAACCATTACAATGATTACTGGTAACTTAACTATAGCCTTTAATGTTACATTACTTTAGTTTCCTTTTAACAAAAACCAAACTCTTATGAAAATAAAGAATGCTACTGACTTTCGCGACTGAGATCTTCCACTAGGTTTTATTGATTGGCGATTATATTTTCCATTTACCATTTTTAATTGATTAAAGTGCTCTCAGCATTTCAATTTCTTACGCGAAATAAGAAATACAGAAGAGAACTTTATTTTAGCTGAGGAGAAGGGGATGGCGATTTCAAGAGGTCGGAAACGCAATTCATTTTCTTGTTTAGATACGGGATTTTATGCTAACCTTTCTTCCCCTAATATATGATTATCTGATATGAAATAATCAAATTTGCTTTACTGGGACCAAACATAGCTAGGCTAACGTTTGAGTATCTTTGAGATCCTTAAGTTGATAGGATATGATAGCTATACAAGTACTCCGATGCAATACGTTTGATGTAAACTACTTTTTTTTTTATAGTTGTTTGTAGATAATGTATGTACAAAATTTAGATAGGATTGCAAACTACTTTTCCGGCCATAAGTAAATACAGTTACTACCACAACTATTTGTAGAATGTTGATGATTTCTTAAAAAGAACTCCAATGTCATATTAGAAAGTTTGATAATTAAATCAAGGATGCAGTAAGTCTAAAGTACAAGGACATGCTTCTGTGCGTAATGTGGGGGCCTGGCATCGTACATCACAGACATGATCTAATTATCAAACAGAAGATGACTCAAATTGAGCAACCGCAAAAACAGCACGTGTGACTAACAGTGGTGTCAGGTAGATTTGGCAGGGGTTGCAAAAAAAGGAGGAAATTAAATAGACAGAAGGGAAAGAAAAAGGCGAGGTTAAGAAAAAGGAAATAAATGAAGAATGATTTTCGCATGTAAAATTGTCCGATCCCTTCGTCAAAGCCCTTTTACACTTCAAGCCACTAACTAGCTTTGTTTTAATGTTTGTTTTCCTTTGGGAGGGGGGGGGTGATCTACTGCCCTCATTAAGCAGTGTGGTACGTACCTCACAAATAACTTTCTTTTTTAACCAGTCAAAACATTTAACAATATAAAAACCTACTTATAATAAACAGTACTTGAAGGGCGTGCCTTGGCCCATATTCCTCTTTTCTTGACTACACCGTCGTGCCGCCCAACGTTATACACTATATATATAATATGCATATAGTGTTTCATCACTGGACTCCAAACTTCGTAAGGTCATGTATTCCCCCATGGTGTTAGGTTAGGATCTTGATACACCCTAATATACCTCTAAATGAAGGCTACGTTATTCATTTAGACCGCCTTCTGAGAGCAGTTTTCTCTTGGTACGGTTACACATCAAGGGGTTGAGATTGTTTTATGATTTCAACTGATCAAATATTATGGCTGTCGTTGGCTCATCAGAATAACGCTAAAGCGGAGTTTGGTATTTCTTAAAGAATGAAGAGGGAAGTTCCGTGTTTAAACACAGACTTTGCAGCGACAAAGAAAAAAAACTCATCTCAAAGAACGAGAAAAAAGGTTGGCAAATCAAAATAACGCTAAAGCGGAATTCTGTATTTTCTATAGACTGAAGAGGGAATTCCGTGTTCATAAACTGCCTTTGTCATTTGTCTTAACATACTGTTAAATGGTAGGCATAACTATAAAAAAAAATGATTTGATCAGCGTGTCGATTCATTTTGTCTGGCGATAACGCTAAAGCGGAGTTTGGTATTTCCTAAAGAATGAAGAGGGAAGTTCCGTGTTGAAACACAGACTTTGCAGCGACAAAGAAAAAAAACTCATCTCAAAGAACGAGAAAAAAGTTGGCAAATCAAAATAACGCTAAAGCGGAATTCTGTATTTTCTATAGACTGAAGAGGGAAGTTCCGTGTTCATAAACCGCCTTTGTCATTTGTCTTAACATACTGTTAAATGGTAGGCATAACTATAAAAAAAAAATGATATGATTAGCGTCTTGTTTCATTTTTTTGCTGGCGTCTATCATCCGCGGTGAGCAACTCTCCTCCTTGTATCTGATGAGATGTGTTCTAAAGGTCTTCCGTAATAACACGTCTGCATCAGTTTGTCAGCAGATCCTTCACGCCCAATGGCCGCCATCCGTTTCCTCATCCTGGTCACTCAATTTAGCCCAGATGATACCTTATGCTACTTTCCTTTCATACATTACGCGGGGTATCTGCCAAGAAACACATCCTTGGCCAATTTTTTTAAATATTTTTTTTTTAAAACTCTTGGTCATTTTCGATCCCGGCGGGTACTTTATCTTAGTAATCCATTTGCGATTCATTTGAAGCTCAGAATGGTCTTTACACACCCAATGCAGGACCCAGAGCCGTATTTTGTGATAATACTGCTGATTTTCTGTATTCTCTGGCGGAGACAATAAGAAGAATAAAGAAAAGAAGATATAATGATAATAATTTAAATAATACTAATGATCATCACGAAAAGATTGCCCTGAGGAAAATCTCACAATTCCTGAAGTAAATTTTATAACAGCGCCTGCAAAAGATAATAATTATAATGGTAATAATAATAATAATAATTACCATCATAATCATAATAATAATAATAATAATAATAATAATGATAGTAATAATAATAAGAAGAAAACACGAAAAAGAAGAAGAAGGAAAAGAGGAGAAGGTGATAAGGTATTTATTATTTGTTTCACCTCGGTCTAAGAAACGGTTTACCTCGTAGTGTGGGAAAAAGGCTTGAAGCAGCCTCCTCTTCTTTCCTTCTCCGTCTTATATCTAGCATTTAGGTCAATCCCAAGGTAGCCATTGTAGAAGTCATTAACATGATTACGTAACTGTTCTGCTTCGTTTATTAACCATGTAGGCTTGGTAGATGCTAGAAGATTTAAATATAACAATACGTTCAAAACGTGGAAGCCTTCTTTTAAACCTTAAGATTATACCGTAGTCCTGATCATCAGAGATCTCGGAATAATTGAAAAATTGTACGGCCACTGAGACGGGCAGTGACAAACTTCTGCACGAACTATTCTGTATGTAGCGAGTAGGGCGTACCTTCTGCTTTTAAATCTTACTTTTCTTTCACTTGATGACATATCTCATTTCGGCTATTCTCTTGTATTTGGGCTAAACGCTGAAGAGGACTTCATATTATTTCATCAGGTTTTAATAATGCAAGTTACCTCAGCATGTTAGTACCCCAATATCCATTAATTGGTATTCATGTCGGTATGATTTCATTAACTCTGGTACCCCATCTACTTGCTATAAATAGACAGTGGCTTTCGATAATGATTCTGCTAATTAAATTGGAAGGCGATAATCTAATTAATGTTCTCATGATCTCACGTCTAGTAATTAGGTCCACATGGAGACTTTATTTTCTTGATTCTTGATTCTAAGGCTTGATCTAGTGAGGGTGACGGAGAGGAAATGGTAATTATGCTTGGGGTTTTGACTCATGAACCGAGGGGTCTAAACACATTGTTTTAGTCCGTGACGTGACAGTACTGTCCCCTGATGTAGGTGTGGTCACTGAACAGGCAACCCACAGTTTTCACACAGTCTACTAAAATCTAAACCTAACGCTTTGTTTTGAAGCAGGACTGCACTACGTGGATCTACTTGCGCCCTTTATATTACCAACAATGTTGATCCCCCATGGTCCCCTTGTTAATTGCGAGCTGATTTGATGAGATAACCACCTGCCTGACCAGGTCTGATCCCTCATAAGCAAACTAGTGCAGATAGGCTTTAAGCTTGACTCAAAAGTCGGGTTGAACTAAGGAAGTTAGTCTGCAATCTGACTTCTCTTTTGTTTTGTTTGTTAGGCATGATCTTAGACCCAAGGTCCGGATGTAAATAAATTAGCAGAAGCCATGAAAACGGACCAATGAGTTGAAATACATTGTGTTTATTCTTGTTGAACATTACAATGCGATTTATTGGCTAATTACATATCATTAACAAATGATAATCGCTTGGAACGATAACAGAAAGAAAAAATAAACAATGAAATAAAGGCAGGACAATCTTCGCTTTGGAACTGTATAGAAGTAATATTCACTGTGGCCCAAATGAAAACGGAATAGTTGTAATAGTTTAGGCTTACTCGACAAGTTACAGCCGACATTTTGATTAAAGGCTGTTTCAAAAGTTAGAACCTTGCCCATGACACTCATCTTGGTCAAAATATACATGCACATGTAAATTTTAGGTTTTTTGTTTATTGTCTGATGTCGATTTATCATTTTGTTTCATAAAGAGAATAGGAGATGATCATACAATTTAATCTGAAAGAAAAGTTTCTCACTCCTATTTACATAGAAGTCCGTGTCAAGAAAACTAACACATTGGATAACCCCCCCCCCCCTAAATTATCCCAAGGATAGGTCTCGGCCCCCCGACAACTTCCCTTTTATACCTTTATAATAAGTTTGCTACATCTCACAAACTACATGGAATTACCAAAGTAAGGAGGGGAGGGGGGGGGGGGGGCTTTTACATTACTGTAAATGTCGTATGGGGCCTATTTTGATAAGAGGTTTTGTCCTTTTTTACTAAGATAATTTCAGAATTGTACGTGACTTTTGTATAAGTACAGGGATGTGTATGTGATGCTGTTTTACAGTGACTCTTTCTTGAAAATTGATGTTTAAGGTGTGTTCGAACAAGTGTTACAACACCGAATCGGCTCATTTCACTCTTCAAGTTATCTCAATTAGGATTTGTTGAAAGTGTTTTGGACAGCAACTCATATGTATTTCCACAAAAAAACCTACATGCAAACGGTCATAGAGAATGAACAGAGTAGGACACTTAATCTTTCCTGTTACAAGATGATTGAATTTGTCTTAAGATAGTTTCCAAAGTTTTTTTTAAAAAAATAGGAAGAAAGAAATACATCGTGGTCGAATTCCCATCAGTGACATACTTTAAAGCTCCACCTTTAACAATTGCATGCTGTTCAGCCTACGATCAACAGATATAATAATTCGACCTGTGTATGTCTTCCCTTTTCCTCCAACAGCAAGTTGCAGCCATGTCCTCGCTCAGGAAGATTCCGAGGAAGAAGACCAGCCAGCGGCATTCGGAGCGTATCCTAACAACTTTGGCACGTACCCCGGCAACTATGGCATGGGACGAGGTGACAATGTGGAGCAAGTAGACCCAGAGGAACTTGAGGATCCAGAAGAGATGGAAGAGCCCGACAACGAAGAACCGCAAATGCAAGCTATGGGGGATACTGAGGCACAGCAAGAAGCACTAGAGGCACAACAAGAAGCACAACAAGAAGCTCTAGAACTAGCACAGGAGGCGGCAGAAGATGCTGAAGAAGCAAGACTTGACGCTTTAGAAGAACAAGAAGACGCAGCACTTGAATTGGCTGAGCAACAGCAGGAGGCAGCCGAACAGGGCGAGTCACTCGACGTTGAGGAATTGGAATCGTCCGTATCTCACTTCTCATCGCTGAACGGCCAGGGCGGTGCCTTGGGTAACAACCCAGCCAATCAGGGCACAGGAGCTGGCGAAGACCTCAGCGAAGAAGAAGAAGCAGCAGCTCTAGGAGGCATGGGAGGAGTGGGAGGAGAGCAGAACGTTGGTGGCGCCGTCGCAGACAGTAGCGAAGAAGAGCAGGTTGTGCAGCAGCAAGCCGGTGGCTCCATCAGCGCTATGGGATCTTCTTTCACATTCCCTCCAATGCCAATGACGACAGGACCCCCTTTGGTCCGATTCACGACAGGACCCCCTTTGGCCCGATTCACCACCAGAAATGTCACCCCAGAGCCCATCGTGGAAAATAATGCCGGAGCAGGTATTGCAGCTGCTGAAACCGCTGACAACCTACCTCAACAACAGACCATGTCGACGAAAAAGACCACCGCGATTGCTGCTGGTGCCGGTACTGCTGGAGTAGTTGCAATTGCTGCTGCAGGAGTTGGATTGGCCTATAAAGCCGGTCTCATCGGTGCAGGTGCCGGTGGTGCTGGCGCTGCCGGAGGAGCTGCAGCTGTCTAAGAAAAGACATTTACGAACTGAAAGACACTATCAATGTTGCCCAATATCTATCACCGCTGACGTGCCTTCTGTTTTGTCCTCATAAACACTGTCAACCTGCATTATTGCATACCTATGATGGGCACTAACTTAAACAAGGACATCAAAACTCTTTCATTAGATTTTCCTTCTACGACATTTCACAATATTCTATAGATCTTTAAAGATTCCATGATATTTGTTGCTGAAGAATCAGATGAAAATGAGACAAGCTCTTCCTGTTATATTTTTTTCAAATAAAACTAAATATTTTGTATGTTAACGTTCCTATTACAAAAGAAACATTGACGAGTTGTTTGATTTCACTGATGATGTAATCTAAATTGATATTCGGCAGCATTAGAAAAGAAGAATACTCCATGGTATCTGATTGTGTATGGATTATTCTCTTCTAAGCAACACGTATATATAAGAACTGTTGAAACGAACACAATTCTGACAGTCTTTGGACCTAGATGATCTACGTATGACTAAATTTGATATTGAATGGCCCCCTGTGAACATATAATATTTTCAAGTTCAGAAAATAAAAATAAAAATTGAACTTGCGAATTCTCTTTGGTAGCACACATGACTGTAATTTCCTAGGACCTTTGAACAATGTATGAAGTTGAAAAGGGGATTTTGGTAAATAAGAGCATTTTATTACATTTTCTTTAGATTTATATCAACAAGTACAATACCCACTTCTTTAATTTTTATTCTTTTTTTTTACTTGCAATATTTTGTGTACTTTTTGTATTCTTGCTGTATGAAATATTCAGAAAAAACATATATGGTACAAAGTCTGTACATTTTGTCAATATTAAACTTTTGTTTAAATTAATCAGCGATGATTTTTTATTTTCTATGGGTGATCATTTGGTAATTATAAGTTTGTTACCGTGAGAAACTGTACACAGTGGCGGATCCAGGGTGGGGGCATATGGGGGGGGGGGGCACGGGCTCCCACCCCTGGCAAAAAAGAAGTAAAAAAACAAAGATGGTAATCACAATTTTACCTTTAAAAAAGAAGAAAAGAAGACAGGACCCAACCCCTTGCCAAAAAGAAGTTAAAAACAAAGATGCTAACCACAATTTTACCCTTTTTTTGGCTCAGTCGTCACTATCGCCCCCCCCCCCCGCGTTGAGCAAAACAATGTAGTGCTCATAACCCCCCCCCCCCCCCCCCCGCTTATTCGCCGCTAAATATTTTCTCATGAATCGGGCCCCCATCCTCGCCGCCGGTTTTTGGGGGTTCTGAAAAGTTCAATGTTTTTTAGTGATGCATCCAGTAGTATTGGAACATTTTTTATTATTTTGATGATTCTAAAACCCAACGACGAGGGGTTTGTCATGCCCACATCTTGGTTCCAATGTACAAAAATATTTACACCTACGTCGCATAGTAAACGATTCTATCATGCTCTCTATTATTAACCCGGAACCTTTTAGAAGCAATTATCTGGAGATCTTACGAGCGGCTAAATCGGCACTTTCAATTTTCCTTTCCTTAATTTCTTAAAATGAGAAACTTTAATTGTTACATTTATACGTAACTGGGCTCCCGTGTTATGTGACTGTGGTGTGAGAGTGCATAGTCCTTTGTCAAGCTGCGGCAAATATTAATTGATTGTTGGAAAAACAAGAACATCAACATACATTATGGGCAGTTAATAATAATGATAATTATATTTATAACAATAGTAATAGAGATTCATTCCTGCATTAATACGTGGGCGTGTGTATGCTGTATGTGTGTGTGTATATGTGTGTGTATATTCCCTATATTCCCTCTAAGCACAGTAGATCCCTAACATAACTGTTCCTACGCTATGATACATGCAAATTATATACAGCCAAGTGTCTAAATAGAGATCATTTACAGGCTGGGATGCTCTTGCGAATATTAAGATAAATTTAAATAAATACAAACAAAGAGAACGAAAGTAAAATCCGAGGAAAACACTTTTTTGTATGAAATGTTGATTTGACATCATTTTTATGATAACTGTAAATTATTAAAAAAAATGATCATTAGCAGTCTGGAATTTTTCTGCAAATATTATGTTAAATTTAGATAATTACATACAAAAAGAATAAAAGTAAAATCCGAAGAAAACACTTCTTTGTATGCAAAGTTGATTTGATATTATTTTTTTTCTTCCTATTTCATATTGCAATATCTTGTTTCAACTGCAACGAAGTGGATATACGCCTGGGGAGTGATGTTCTATATCCGTACAATACAAAATCGAAAGGGGGTATCCAATTTGAAAGGAAATAGTAATTACCCCATATACCAAAAGCTTAAAAGAGGCCCAAATTTGGGGTTAAAATGCTGGAGGATACTGGGTACGGCTGTATATTCTAGATAGAGCCACAAACACACGTTTATAACCTGTATGAAATTGAATATTCCGATCAAAAAATATTTCCAGTGGAATTCTCGAGGGGGCGGACTCAAGCCCCCCCCCCCCCTCCCTCCCCCTCCCCCAATTTTTGTTTAAGCCCTCTCCCTAATTTCCCCCTCGGTCTTTCCTATTTCTTGACTTTTAGTGAACTAAACAGAAGCACGGTAGAAAATGAAAGCAAGAATCCCCCAAGCCACTTTCCCTCAAACAGTTTATAGGACCTTACATTTATATTCTCATTTGGGGGAGGGGGGGGGGGGGGGGTTAAAAAGTATGTCACCCTACCAAATATAGGGTTATATTTGAGACATATAATAGGTCAAGTCAGTTGCGCAGCTTTGGAGGGGGGGGGGGTGTGGGGAAAATCGAATAGCGAAGAAAAGAAAAAAAAAAGATAATGCTCGTCGCTGCTCACTTCATGGGCTGGATCCATGCTATGCACTTGTTTGACAAACATTATTCAAACTCGAAGCTACTGGATATGTATTGACGTTCACGTAATCGTGGAAATGTCGTAGAGCTATAATGGAAACACCCCTGATCTTTGATACAATCGGAAACATACATTTAATCAGCATTATCCAGAAGGCGAATGGCAGATTCAGGGTAAGAAGTCTTGAGGGGGGAGGGGGGGGGGGGAGGCTACGTCATATCTGATATTTTTTTAATATATTGTTATTATTTTTAAAACCATATTATTAATCTCGCTGAAGTTTAGTATTGTAAAAATCATTATTTATTGTCATCCCATGCTAACTGTCTCTCACGAGGTTGGATTTTCAATAGAGTCGTATTGTAGGGGTCATCTCGTGGGGAGGGGTTGGTAAATATAAATCATATTTATATATAATACGTAGTACGTTAATTTTTGCCATTCCTGGTTATTGTCATCTTCACTTTTACACTTAAATTATGAAAAATTGTTATCCAATGTTATAAACAAAATTTGAGAATGATCCTATCTGTTTTTATTTCAATCAAGTTTTGAGTTGAATTGAATTGAATTTGATTATCTAATACGTAAACACACACGAAAATACGAGCCCCCTATGACGGAAGCTTGTTTTTATATATTTCCTAATTGTCAGATAAGTTGCAACAAAGAAGGATCCTAGTATGTACTGAACCTCTCTCTTGCTTCTTTGAATTTGTCTTTGATTTAAAAAAAAAATCTGACTTGACCCCCCCCCCCCCCCCCCCCCCCCCCCTCCAATATACAGAAAGTTAACAAACAAACTTGTACCGATTCGAGTCATAGTAGATGAAACAAATATGCTCTGGATATTCTTGTATCTCAAAAGTGGTCAATTCAGCTCAGTTTAAATTCATGCTGTGTAAAATTAAGGCCAGACTCTAACCAAATTAAGTGCATCTCAAGCGTACTATATCAATTGCGAAAGTTGAAGATACCTCAGAGGCTCAATACGTGAGAGCAAGAAGGGACCAAATTCACCAATATTTTTTTTTTTTAATTGTGAGAAGTTCGGTTCTTTGTTTCAAGTACACTGCTGTTGATCACTAGGAAGCCTGCAGGTAGTCTTTCAACAAATAATGATATAAAATCCTCAATTAAGGAAATTCAAGATGATAAACACTATTTGATATAAATACCACGTTTCCTCACATAATTTTGTAGGAAGGCGTCAGGAAGAATTGAATTGTCCTTTTTTCTTTTCTTTTTTATTACCAACTTTTGCTTTTCAATTATAAAGCCGATTTTGTTTTTCCTTTAGATATTTGTTTCACGTTGGAATGTATTTTGTACTCTTGATTGTTATGTATAACTCTGTTGTGGAATCCTTTATTTTTTTAAACCAATGGAAGAAATAAAGTCTGTTATAACGACAGTTAAATCAATAAATTAAATTCAATTTAATTCCATGAAATCCAATTACTCATTCTGGTCAAAATCTTGTGACCCTTTTCCTCTCATATATTGAATTAAATTGAATTTATTAAACTACATAAACATGTCAAATCAAAATTTACATTAGAAAATAGATTACATAAAACAAACAAAATACAAAGCAAATATAAGTTGGTTATAAAAAGGGCCCCCACCAAACACAAATTAGTTTAAGTATAATTAAGTCACCACACCCACACACGCACACATCCACTTTTTTCTTTCAATAGTTTTTTTTATTTTATTGATTCCAAACAATACAAATCGATCTTAGAAATAAAATACAGTTGTTTTTCCTTGACATGAATTCAAAACATTTTCATTTAATACATAGATTGTACGATTGATGACAACGCACATACAAAAACACACAAGCACATACACACGCGCACACGTGCACGCACACACACAGACACACACACGCACACACGTACGCACAAACGTGCAATCACACGCACATGCATACGAACTACTGTATATACATGTACACACATACCTACACGAAATACTGTGTTGTTACAAATTTTGAAATAGGTATTTACGACAAAAGCTTTTCGAAACAGGACAAAGTTGAACTTAATTTTATAACAGTGGGTAATTGGTTCTATTTATTCACGCCAGCACCTTTTAATAAATTAAGTGAAATGGTAAGCCTTACTTTGGGTTTATATCAGATCACAAAATGACGTGTTTGTTGAATGGTAACGCCACTAGCTGGCGACATTTTATCCTAAAGCAAAACAACATTAACTGTTGAAAGTGCATACCTGAACATTTGCATCTATTTGTATGGATTCTTTGTACCTATTGAACTGCTTAACACATTCATGAGAAAATCCAACTACTTATTATTCCCCTATCATCTAACTGCCTTTTTTAAAAAAAAATTAAATTTTATTTAAGCAGATGTTTCTGCATTTATTGATAAATCAAATATAAAACATTCAAATAACAATAACAGTATACATAATAATTGATTTACATAAAGAGTGACAACCTAAACACACACACATAATAATGCATATATATATATATATATATAATTGAAAACTTGAAAGTATGGAGGTAAGTAAAATATATGCAAAGGCCAACTAGCATGAATGCTTAAGTCGATAGCAGGCGGGAAGGAGGGGGGTACATGGAGCTGTTACAGGAGTAGGTAGGAGAATAGAGTGTCACGTATAAACATTTTGTTCAGAAAGTATCTAAATAAAAAGTGGAAAGAAAGTAAAGAAAGAAAAAATGCAAATATTTGCAAGTGGGTGTGTAGGTAAAGTAAGTGTTCGATTCGTATTGTTAATGAACTGGTCGTCTAAAATTAATTGATATAAACAAGCAATCAAAATCGCTGTGATCCTTATAATGTTTGTGAATATTTAGATATTAAATACTTTTTTCATCGAGGCTTTGAATGAATAACGAGATGCAGAGTGTTTAATATTGTCAGGTAAAGCATTTCAAATATCTGGACCATAGTCTCTTATCGATTTTAATATAGGTCATAATAATTTTTGGGTTGGTTAAACG